AATTCTTTTGAGTTCTAACATTGAACAATCTTATGATGGAAAATTTATATGTTGTCCTACGTTTAAGAACTTGAAAAAAATCCCTACTGTTTTTTACATCCTTTAAGTTTATCCATGCTGCAACTAATTTGTTAGTTAGTTGCAGAAATGGTTTGAATTCCATCGACATTTATGGGAATACTCCATTGTATTCCATTATAACACGGATGTCAAACGTAACAAAATGCCTTGATGCTGTGGAATTTCTGATACAGCATGGTGCAGATCCACGCATACGATGCAATGACGGATATCTACCTTTAGACACTTTCAGAACTTTCTCTCTATCTATGAACGAAAGTGGAATTGAAAGGGGAGAACAATTATTAGGTTATCCAAAAACAAGGCGCTTTATAAAAAAGAAACATGTTTTCTGATGACTTTGGCTTTTCTTTTTATTTCTTTCGAATTGTGGTTTTATTATGTTATAATAGGGAGTGCTTATACTGAAATGAAACGTTTTGAAAAACGAGAACATAATTCTGCAGTGTGTAGCCTTCAATCTTTTAAGACTGGCTGTATTTTGGACATCGATATAGTGTCTGTTCCTATGTTGCATAAATTGACGTTGGAGTTGTGTAGTTGGGTAAATTCTGTTTTGTTCGGAGGAATTGAAAATACATCTACTCGAAGTAGCTTATATGCAGAGAAATAATCACTTTTATGTTTTTCGGAGAAAATATCTTTTTTAATGGTTTTTCTGAAAATGATCTTTTGTCATATTTCAAATCAAGCAGGACAAACAGTTTTCTGGTTCTATTGTAATGTATCTTTCTTTGCCTCTACTTATACCTAGTTTATTTTCTGTTACCATTGAAAAGAAATATTTTTAAACATAAATTTTATCTTTTTAAAGCAATCAAGATAATTATGATATTGTTTGTTATCATCGGAGTTTCCAGTATAGCAATATACAATCCGAACAATACGTTTACATGTTTGAAAAGCACTCCGTATCTTATACAGGTGTTCATAAACTTTTATATCTTCTCCTAATTTTGTTGTTGAGACTTATTTTAGTTTATTTCATTGTATTTCTCTTCCAAATTACCTTAATACGTCGATTGTTGATCATTTTCTTTCAACCTATTCACTGGTACGGACCTGTTTATATTTTGATTATGAACAGGTGGACATTATCAATGATGATAATTGACTTTCTGATTGTACCTATAGTAATATATTTTTCTGACATAAGTCATTATTAATGACATTATACTTAACAATATTCATAAACTTTGTAATGTGTATAACTGTATTTTACATATGTCAGTAAGATACAACCTTGATAATTATTATTGTTTGATTTTTTACATAACACACTCTAAGTTTTGAACAGACAATGTTAAATCTGAATATGCTCTTCTTTTTTTCTTGTTGAGTGTATTAAAAAAACAAGAGTCTTTGTAGTCTGCTTATATTTTTAATCGCACGATTTTAATGTTTTTCAATATTAGCAGTTTGCTTTGTTCGTACATTCGTGTTTGGAAAGGCTGACTAGACATGAATACACTTATACCAGGAGTAGAGGCCAGTATTTAATCTGGTTTTTATTTTTTAATCGTTATAGAATATTGAAATGGAAATCTTAACACTAATTATAACTTTTTATTTACTGTTTATCTGAAGTTTTATGCAATACTCATCTGAAATTCTCCAATATTTTTTTTTAACAGAAAGGACATATTAGAGAGGTTGAGATTTTAAACGTGTACTTGTGCATCAATTTTGACGTACACGTACACGTTTTTGTAATTTGTCTGTTGAGATTTTTTTGACGTGTAACATGTACTTGTACACCGCGATCGGAGTCTCTGTAACAACTTTTTAGAAGTTTTGTTACGTCAAATTGATTTTATGTAGCTAACAAAACACGATTAAATTAAGTGCTCATAAAACTAAACATCTTAAATAATATATGTATATAACAAATACATTTTCACCCATAAATTGACCGATTTTTATAACTAAAGTTACACGTTTTCACTTACGTGTAGATGCCACTCTACAAGTTCTAAGAACGTGTAGTAATCTTGACGTCACTAAAATTGATGACGTAATACACACGAAATTTAGGTTTTTCTCCTACTAGACGTACGCGTTCACGTACACGTTTGAAATCTCAGTCTCACTATTTATGACATGTAGCCAGTTGATTACGATGTAAATAATCAATTGTTGAAAAGCTACCTATCTCAACGATTTAGGATCAGTTGCAGTGAGTAAACATTATATTTCGATGTCAAAAAAAGGAAATCAATTGAAACATTTTAAAATTTCTATCATGCTAGTAAAAACTGATGCCTCTTTAAAACTGGTTTTTATTCATCATAAATTTTAAAATGCAAATTTCAAAGGGGAAAATGATTAATTGATCTAAAATAGATTTGATAAAGTTACATTACATAGTGCAAATGTATGCATAAAAAGCATTACAGCAAAACTGATATAAAGAGTAAATTTAAAAAAGATGACAATTTGAGGAAAAATAATAATAAAAATTGCATTACCAAGTATGTCAAATATACTTATTTTTTATAACGCACAGAATGCAACCCTAGTTGTAAATTTGTTGTAAGGGACATCTATAAAATACTAAGTATAGAATCCTCTAAGCTGGTGGGTATTGATTCACCATGATAGATAACCTTGTCTCCATATACATGGAACATTGCTGTTTCAGGGACAATGAAAGCTCAAGATTTAATAAAGATAAGATATACATGTACCAATATATTGAACACCTTCAGTTATTAATTTTTATGTGTATTCTAATTGATTTGGTATTAAATCAATTATTTAAAAAAAGATATTGCATAGACGACTTTTTTAAATTTATACATGTACAACAAAGCATAGAATGTGCGGAAATGGTGATACAAATCTTTGGAGATTATGTGCAAAACAAAACAAATAATATAAAGGTTCATAAACCCTCTGCTCACTTACTGCAGTATATTAGTGTTTTCTTTAAGATTTTCCAAAGGAAATGTATATGCTGAATAAAATACAAACAATTATGACATAGTTTGCCGGGCAAAATTTGACAAAAAAGGCACTTAAACTTGACAAATTTATAAGGGAATAATAGACATTTGTGTCTGTAATAGTTATCTCTCTTATCAGAGTATCAATGTATCTTACATCAGTTTGTCAGAGATTACAATTTCAATGAAATACATCTCAACATTAAAGGAAAAAAAAGCACGTCAGCATAAAATTTGTATAAATAATACCCATCATTATAATCAAGAAACAGAACAGAAAACAATTCTGCTAAACAAAAGCACACATAAAGGAAAATTGAAACATACACATTCTCTTCCTAATTGTATAGGAAGATTAAAAAATGCAGTGTAATTAAAAACGTAAATTGGTGACGTGCTTTTTACTCAGTGATCCAAGTATACTATTTTCAGAGAGATATCGAAGGATTTAAAGAAAAAAAGACTATGCACATTTTATATTCTAGGCTATTTTTCATATGAATAAGAGGGAGATTTTTAATGATAATATTGCGTGTTTCTATGTTAAGGGAAGAAATGCTGTCTGATTACTACTGAAAGAAAATAAGGAGTGACCTATTATAATTTTTAGTTTAAAAAATTCACAAAGCGGATGTAAATCAACATCAAAGAAAATTCAATCAATAATTAGAGCACCTATATATATTGCCACACAACTTTAGCCCTCTGCTTGAGAAAATTCGGGCAGATAAAGCAAAGAGATACAGATCCTAGCTTTGAAAAACCCTTCGATTTACGCCGACGATTTCTTTATCGCTCACTTCCGGTAATTTCCTTGTATTTGATACTTTTCAAAGCTTTGAAATTCGTATTTAATAATTAATCATACATTTAAATTCAATTCCAGATAATTAAACTGCCTATCAACAGTAAAATAAAAATCCTGTTTGTAGTTACGGACATCGAAATAGAACTATTTTAAACCAACATTACACAACTATTTACAGGACTGTTCCAGACCGTTAAAAGGTAAATTAAGCATTAAAAAAAGACTTGGATACATTATCAATTATCGGATACCATTCTAAAAGCCAGAGAAGACTGAAACTCATGAAATAAATGCCTAAATTAGCGACAAAATATCGTCGGCGAAATTCGAAGATTTTTACAACTCTTGGATCTGTAGCCCTCTGCTTTATCTGTCCGAATTTTCTCAAGCAGAGAGCTACAGTTCTGTAGCTACTTTATATGAAACTTTTGAAAGGTATATTAAAGGATGTGAAAATGTGAGTCAATAAATCAATCTAATTAATAGCTGGTGATTTTTTTTTTAAAAATACAAGCAATTAATATTTGTTATAGCAATTACTTGACGTAACTCTTTCGTGGTGGATGTACATGTTGGAAACGTCTAGTGAATGAGGGCAGTTGTGCTATAAAATTCAATGCCAAATCGGTCATAGTGAAATTTTTTATGGGCAGATAAAGAAGAAATGCTGGTGAAATTTCTTGCTAAACATCCACTTAATCAGTCTAATAAATTTTTGAGAGGAGTTTATCCTTCAGTGTAGTAAGATACAATGTAGATCACTGGGAGGTAATCGCGTTACTACAAATTCAGTCGATACACGGAGCTCAGGATAAAACAATGAGATCACTGGGAGGTAGTACGCAAATTCAGTCGATACACGGAGCTCAGGATAAAACAATGAGATCACTGGGAGGTAATCGCGTTACTACAAATTCAGTCGATACACGGAGCTCAGGATAAAACAATGAGATCACTGGGAGGTAGTACGCGCGCGTACTACAAATTCAGTCGATACACGGAGCTCAGGATAAAACAATGAGATCACTGGGAGGTAATCGCGTTACTACAAATTCAGTCGATACACGGAGCTCAGGATAAAACAATGAGATCACTGGGAGGTAATGGCGTTACTACAAATTCAGTCGATACACGGAGCTCAGGATAAAACAATGAGATCACTGGGAGGTAATCGCGTTACTACAAATTCAGTCGATACACGGAGCTCAGGATAAAAAAAAAGCTTTCTGAATTCGAATTGAAAAAGAAGAATTGTTCAAATAATTTGTCCAAAATGTTAAAAAGGTTTTCAGCTGATGCTACTTTTCATTTTTTGCCTCAAATGTACGCGGAGTAGAAGTAGTATAATCTGAGGAATAACTGTCGTGGGAAATAGGATCAGATACATCGTCAATCCACCGGCAAAAGTTGTATTAGCAATACAAAGAGCCAAATTAACAATGTAAAATAATGCATAGTATCGTATATACAACTCTTTTTTCGTCCATTGAAATCGAAATAACCATTCGTAGCAAAAGAAAAAGTTTGCAATTCACCAACTATAGTACTTATAATGATGAGTGGCTTAATACAAGTATCGTTTGAATACTCTGAATATATCTTTCTTAAACAATTCACTGGAGATAATAATAATATGAAAATGTAAATACCAGCGAAGTATCCAAATGACTTCAAGCCAAATTCTTGTATAAACTTTGTGTAAATGATACATCTTGGAATAAACTCAAAAGCCCTTCCAATATACACAATGACAAAATAAATATACCATAGATTTTTATTTTTCTCCTTATAGTTCTTCCAGTAATATTCTTTCTCAGCATGTTGAATTCTCTTTTTAAATTTCTCATCATACACTGATCTTGAATCCTCCTCTCTGTCTAAAGTTGTTGTAGCAGATGTGATGGAGAGTGACACGGTTAAAATGGACACAAGGGCGAACCACTTCTGTATGCTTTGTAAACCTGCAAACAGCAATGTACAGTTTTTTACATAATATAAAAAAATGAATATCTTTCTACATACTAAAAGTGTTCATGATCTTTATGCATTGCAAACGGAAACTATTTAAAGAATTGTTATACGTGGACGATTTTTAGGCACTAGATGGATATTTTGACAAATCATATTTCTTAAGTGAACGTTAAAAAAATTAAATTGATTACGGTAGGCAAAGACGTAGAAGGACTAGAAATTTTTTGCACGAGAGATAATTTCTAATTTTGAAATAAATGTTATGCTTTTAATACAGATATTTAAATAACTCATTGATAAGTACATGCAAAATAATTTGAAATTATGTCTTCAATGAACTTTTTTAAAAGTCTTACTTTGGAATAATGTTTGACTCTCTGTCAGGAAAATGTAATACTCGAAAATGAATTGCGGAATTCCTTCGATGCATACTTCCAAAAGCTGCAGGAATGTAAGAGCTTGGAGGTACCATCTTTTTCGCCAGGATTTCTCACCTATATTTACTATCCAACCATAGCTGAAAAAATGTGGAAATTATTATGCATTTTATAATTGATTCTTATGCACAATGCATACATGAATAAGTCGCATGTTTTCGTAATACTGTTAATCTTGCAAAATCATATCCTTGAAAAGCGTTTGCAAGTAAGCTACATGTATGAGCAACTGATTCTGTAAAGGGATGAACTACTTGCCTGTCAACATAGTTAATCTGCATGTAGACATTGTTCGATCGCAAGTTTAATATATAATTATGTAGCATCTTCGCATAATTCACTTTGCATTAATTAAATGAAATTTACAGCTGTAATTTTAAAAAAAACTTACATCATCGCCTTAGCTAAAGGTGAAGTTACCAGGATCAGAAACCCAAAGCAACAGGGTAGCCCAATATGTGTTATTGGAAGATAAAGAAGAATTGGTATCGAAAATAAAACTGAAGTTGCACCTGGTGCTATCGACAATATGAAATCCTTAAACTCTCCTCTGATAAAATACTCTGATGATAATACACCATCAGCAAAAAATCATAAAGGTAAAGAGACATAAGACAAAAAAAAAAACGAAACGCCAGAAATTGGGACAGGATGAATCTCCACTATCTGTTGTCCTCTGTTCAATTGCAGGTCTTTCACGATTATTAATACGACGCGGAACACTTCTGCTTTCCTGATTTATGTTGGATGCAGATGGATTCAAAGTCCGACCATCTTCCTTGTTATTTGGAATGTGCATGATGTGATTCATTCGTATCTGCTGAGGTAGAGGTGTCGGCATTGGTAATTCTGAGTTGTATATATATGTATGGAAGAAAGATTGGTTTGCTACCTGTATATTGCTTAAAGGATTTAACACTGTAACATGCTGGGTTTGATGAATAACACCAGGCTGTTGACTTATGTGGGTAGGATGCAATACATTCAACCAATTCATTTGAACTAGGTTATTTCCTTGGGTATAACAAGTAGCAACAGCCCGATCTGATGTAGTAGAGCATCGATAATCAGCATATCTCCTGCCAGCCCCGATATCGGTTTCTAACAATTTCTTGATTTTTTTTTCGAAAGCATCTTTGCAATCCACAAATTAAGGCAGCCGTAATCACTGCTATGATTCCATACACCAACTTGCAAACTAAGGAATCTGAAATGTTCATTTTAAAATGTACATGTCACAAATAGCACCATTTCATATTATAATTTAATTGATATGTCTGTATCGACCTGCTTTTTCATTTTAACATACCTAATTTATCATCATGTTTAGTTGTAGCAAGTTAAGAGATTCAATATTTGTTAAGTAAACAAAAAAACCCATTTTTTTAAAATATTTTATTTCATTCTCCTTTACTTCCTTAACTTAACCTAAAACTATTTAAGAAAAACTTCAGTAATCTGGACAATTGTTACTAAATTCTGTATACCCTAAAAAGTATTCACAACAGTTTTTATATTTTTACATGTACAGTTAACTATAGTTTTCGTAATATCATTTTTTTAAATACTACTAAATCAAACTATTGACCGTAGTAAATCAAAGTGATTTTTTAAACTATGAATTTGAATTTACTACCTGGGAGTAAATACATACAGCATAATGACTCATCATATCGTAAATTTTGTATTTTGTTCCATGTAGTAAATCTAAAATAAACAACGCGATACAGAGATTATTAGAAAAATTCGCTGACACATTAATTTCGAAAAGAAGATATCGTGTACTTTGTGTACTTTGAAGAATGTAACATGCATTAGAATAATTAGTGTTTTCTCTATACTTAAAAACTTGGAGTGAGCTATTAACCTATGAAAAAAATACCACATGTAATTGATGTATGCGCAAATTCTCTGATGATTAAATTTTTATTAATAGAATAATGCTAAATAGTATTACGATAATTTTATTTTTTTCTTAAACATTAAAAAGGACAGGATAACTTATTTTACATCAATTTCCTTCGTACATTGTACCATAAGTGCATTTACCTACCTGCAGAACATAGCGAACCCATCTGAAATATATAAATATATATATTTAAAATAAATCAACCATGTTAATTAATTAATGGTATGTTTATTTGTGAGAAAAAACACCCTACGTGGATTTACTTACTTTCGGTTTAGGTTCAAAAATTGCAACGTCGAGGTTTGTCTCGATCAATACAACTTTCTTAATAACCGTATCATCTTGGTCAGGAGATAAAATGCGTGTGTCATTCATAAATTGCATAACATTCTAATCAGAAGTATGCAATGCAAACAGTTTGTTCAAGGCGATGTGCATGTTACCTGTGCTTTGAGCTATTGCAATATTTAAAAAAAAAAAAATACGTGTTATCCTTCATTTACAAAGTCAATACGGAATCTTTCCGGCATACCTATGTGAAAAAGTGAAAACATACTTGGATTGAAAAAAAAAAATTAGATGCTCGATTTGCTCAGATAAGGTTCATAGATCTCTAGTGTATGAAGTCGGTCAAGAAGTACATTATATTTCCAGCGTCTTCGTGATCGTCTTCTTCAACACTGACAACAGCTTTTTGATTATGATGACATGTTTTACTCTGGTAGTGTCAAATCAAAAAGTAAAATATGAGGTCACAATGGCATATTGTAATAAAGAATCTGTGAAAGTATCATTAAAGTCTATTCAGTGGTATAGGAGGAGTTGTGAATAAAAGAAGGATACCCTATACTTTTATCATAGAAAGAATGGCAGTGTCAATTTTTTGCTATGGTAAAATCGAAATATGTTTCTAACCAAAAAGTAGAATAGGTGGTCACAATGACACCATGTAACAAGTTTCTGTGAAATTGATTCAGTGGTAAAAGAGCAGTAACTGTTGTGCATAAGAGATGGCCACCCCAAAGCGTAACAGACGGTAGACATACTGATCTCTCTCGTGTACCTTCCCACTTTTCAAGCGGATGGGGGTATAATCATGATTCTTATTTTGCCTTGTTGTATAATTTTCCAAAAACAAAGAAACAAATCAATGAAAAAAAATAAAATATATACACATGTGTGTTAAGTATACTCTATACTTAGGAGACATGATATCCTTAGCAATTCTGGATATATATGGAATGTATATTTATATCCTTTATCTCTTGATCTATAAATACACACTGAATAACACCTAGTATTCCCAAAATAAGCAGTTATCAGAAAGGAAAATTAAAGTAAAACTACATAGAGAAGATAAATATTGGAGAAATATAAAGAAATATAAAATACTGGTGTACATATGTGTACATATGTGAATTTTGAGCTTTAAAAATACTGCGATTTTCCTAAAGAATGGACTAAATTGATCTCAACCCCCCTCCCCCCATTTTATTTCCATTAATAAATACAACTGACGGAATGTCCATGAATGACAGTAAAATATATTTGCGACAACACCAACTAATAGACTGGATATAAAACTAGGTTTATTTGTACAGATTTCATAGAAAATGTGATTTTGTTTAAGTTTTCGAAAACAAAGTATGGTTAAGATCATAAGAATGAAGAGATGACATATAAAAACATATAAAGCTGGCTTCCATCCAACAACAGATGCAAATGTACCAAACATAACTATTCGAATAAAAATTTCTATACCTCTTTCAAACAACAGAGCAAGTGAATATGCAATTTTACGCCAAACCGATACACATTTATTTTTGAGCGATTTTGTAAGAGTTCTTTGGTATATTTCAGTCTTCGGTCCTCGTCTTTATTAAGGTACTTCGTGGCAAAAAATACACTTAGAAGGGAGGACACGAAATTAATGACTAGAGAAATATCCTGTGTGTTGTACAAATCTGTAAAAGAAAAAAAAATCAAAGTTTGTTATCAGAAATCCAGAAAATCGCCAGATTAAAATTTTGTAGAGAATAATACATGTGCATTGTGTTTTGATTTAATATTGCCTCATTAGTATTTCCTGGCAGAATTCATAATATCAAAAAAGCAATACCCGACTACTGTATATAGAGAAAAAAAGTTTCTTTATCTGAAGTTTATCTTGGATGTGTGCCAGCTTTTACAATATTAATCTTAGTGGGACAATCTATCAATGTTATTTAAATGCACTTACCGATTTTAAGATCTTCATTTTCATATTTAATAAAATACAATAGAATCGTCTGAGGAATTCCCTCCAGAGTGGATTCAGTCAACCAGAGGAAGGTCAAAGCTTGTAAATACCATCTCAATCTCCAGCGTTTTCAACCCATTCGAATTGTCCAGAATAATCTGGAAGTAATAGTTAAATATCTATTCAAATTAGCTATTAAAGAAGAAAAAAAAACTAAGCACTGTATTTCAGTTTTTAAATCTGACTTTTAAATACAATTAGATCTTGGTTTATATTAGCTTAAATGACTGAACTCGTTAAAATAAAGACAATTTTTAAAATATATTTTTGTTAAATACAAAGACTTTCTTCCTTCAATATTGAATGGAGAAATTATTTGATTGATTGATTGTATATTGCTTAACTTCCCTCTCGAAAATTTTTCACTCATATGGAGACGTCACCGTATGCTGGTGAATGGCTTCAAATTTCGACCTTTACTCGGCACTCAGGGCCATTGAGCAGTGAGGGATCTTTTTCGTGCCAACGCCTGACGCTGACACGGGGCGTTGGTTTTTAAGTTCTCATCCAAAGGACCCGCAACTTTCACTTCAAAGTGCCGATCGCATGGGGAAGGAACAGTTGCTGCCCATTTTTTTATCGATTTAGGTCAGCCGCGGCCGAGATTCGAACTCACGACCTCCCGATCACGGAGCGAGCGCTCTACCGACTGGGTTACCGTGAACGGTAAATGGAGAAATGATTAAATCATCAATTACAGGTTATTATATCTTTATTTTAACATGTCCAGTAAATATATTTAATTGTTTTTTTTAATTTGTTTTGTGCTGGAAGGTAGGATTATAATGACAAAAAATATATGCAAAAAAAAAATACTCACATGCTGCTTTTTAGATAACCCTCAAATAACACGTAACCAAGCAATGCGCATTTAAAGGATATTATGTCTGTCTTGTTTTATAATATTTATTGAGCCTTTTTACAATAAAGCGTGAGCTTGAAAAAGAAAATGCAAAAGATCATTCAAAACACCACTTTTTGATTGCAATATATAGAACACGATTGCTTATGAGTCAGACATCTCTAATTTCTTTGTTACATATCCCTAAAAATACGAACATAAAAAGTCGCATACAAGGAAAAAAATCTTGAGCCAATTTACACAAACATCATGATTAAAGGTACATTGATACTCCGATAAGAGAGATAACTCCCAATAACACAAATGTGTATTATTCCTTTATAAATCTGTCAAGTTTAATTGCCTTTTTGGTCAAAATTTGCACCGCTAGCCAAGCTATAATTGTTGAGTTTTTATTTAGTATAGACATATCCTTTGGGAAATCATAAAAGTCAAAGAAAAATTTCATATGAGTGAACGGAGGGTTTATTAACTTTAAGGATGGCTTCATTGACATGCGTAACAGATTCCTGCAAAAGAGCATTAAATCTTGAACAAACAAAAATAAAATATGTAATTAATCTTAAAGACGGGAAAAGGTAAAATAATTAC